TTAGCAAATTTAATTAATTAGTTGTTGAAATATTTTAATTTAAAAATTAAAAAAATTGTATTAAAAATGATTTGTCTTTTTTATTGACTCTACCCCATATTATTACTATATTATTACCAAATATTTTATTTTTTTTATTTTTTTTTATTTTTTTCAGTATTAAGTTAACCTCTTTGGCCTGGAAACTCTTTATTAGTAATTATTTGTTATTATAATTACAACAAAGATATAACTAGCTATATATATACTTTTTAAATTCCTATTTAAATAGTCTATCTATAGATTCTACACTAGATATTGTATCTATAATCCAACTAGGAGTTACCCATTTAAATCTTCTAGTTCTAACTATTTTCAAACATATTATACTAACCAGGGAACTACCAACAGCCTGTTCTACTAAATTGCATACCTTATTTTAGGACTTCCTATTGCTTATCCTGGATTTGCACTGACTAATTACTGGTTTGCATTTTTCCATTAAGCAGATGCATAAGCTATTTACGAAATAAACCCACTAGAGCTTTCTTTATCCTATTTGGGCCAACCTGGCTTTGTATAGTTGTCAAAGCTTCCACTTACAGTTGGGATTATTCTTATTTAATAGCTTTTGCCCTTATAAAGTTTATTTCTAATCCTAGTACCCATATTTGGACTTTTTCTTTTTTGTTATTTCCTTATTAGTCCATTTTTTTACTTCTAACTAATGATCCAGAAGATTTGACCTTGGCTTGGCATTAGGTTCCAATACTTTTATCTTATCTTAGTATATAATTTTCTAGCATATATTTTTTTTCTCCAATTTGATAAGCCAGTCCTTTGGACATATCTAGTATTTTTCTATCAATTATCTGACTTCCATAGCCTCTAGTCTTGGTAGGTAGGGCCCCCACCACTGGTTTCTCATGCCAGTTGGCTAGGGTTGGTGTATTCTGTAATACTTCACAGATTTCTAACTTTCTAAATTAGTAGTTAGGTGAGTAAATCTCTTACTAAAGGATCTTGTTGTTATTTAGTTTTCCAATCTCAGTTCTAACTTCCAAATTTGAGTTTTTTTTGTAGTACTGTCAAAGATCATGACTACTCCTTACTTGAGTCTTTCCAAATGGGTTTTGATTATTCTAGTTTCTTGACCTTTTATATACTGAAGCTCCTATGTAAACATGGTGTCACCAAGATTACAGATTCTAGAACCCAACTGATTGACAGATAATTATTACTGTAATACAGGCTTATTTTTCAAAAATCTTATCTATAGAATTTGAACTTTGAACCTGCCGCTTGGTGGGGTAATGACTAGACCACTTCACTAAGCTGCTATACTATTACTAAATATTTTATTAAAGATCTTCAAGAAAAATCTATATATATAAAAAAAAACTATATACTATAAAAAAGCTAAAATTAAAAAATCTAATAGTCTAATTATTAGAGAAAGTAATTCTATACTTAATTTTAGTGCTAATTAGATTAAAAAAATAAATATATTTTATAATCCTCTAAAAGTATATAAATTATTTTTTATTATATTTAGTTTTATAGTATAGTTTTCTTAGAAACAGTTTTCATCTTCAAAACAAGCCTAAAATTTGGCTATTTCCTTCTTATTATTATTGTGCTCTACTATTATTGAAAGTGTAACTATCAAATTATAATTATTTTGTTACAAGAAAAGAAAGACCAAATAAGCTTCCTATTTAATACTAAGCTACAAGATAAGAAATAGTTTGAATATATTTACTTCAAAATGTTTTTAACTTCATAATAAAATAAATTAGTAGACAACAGTAGTAATCAAAAAGTTTAAATAAGTAACCCATAGTTGGGTTGCAGGTACAAGTAGCTAGTATAAAACCTTTAGGCAAACTACTTAAATTAAATACCAAAATATATATGTAGCTAGTTATACTTTTATTACAATTGTAACAAACTCTTTATCTAATAAAAAGTTCTTAGATCAAAGAGATTATCTTAACACCAAAAAAAATAAAATATAGTAGTCAAATCTAGATAGTATATAAATAAAATAGATAGTAGTTAAGGCCTGTTTAAGTTACTTATGCTTGTAAAAAATATGCATATATCAGATAACAGTTGTATACATATATAATAATAAAGTCACAATACATAATCTTACCTTAATACTAAAAAAAAAAACCTATTGCTCTAAAGATTTTTATAATAAAAGGCAAATAAATTTATTAATTATTTGTTTTTTACTTGATTTATAACCAATTTATAATATTTATTATAATTTAAGTAGGATAAAAATTATTTTACAATACACCCCGAATATTAAAAAAAAAAAAAAATTATTTTACAAAATTCGGAACAAATTTGCCCCGAATTTACATACAGACTAAGAAATAGCTGTAATTCTGTAAATACTGTATTTCTCACTTTTTTTTTAGAATTTTGTAATATTTTGCAGTGATTAAGATTAATTTCTGTGATTGGATATACTTAAGAGAAATTTTGTTATGCACTTGACCTTAAATTTTGATTTGTCAACAATTACAGAAAGAACCAAATTTTGGGGTGCAATTCGTCAAAAGCTCTCACTTTTAAAATAATTAACAGCACTTCGAAACGATATGCCGATATTATTATGCGATAAAATATATCTTTTATATTAGATGTTAAACGTAAATACAAAGAATGTAAGTGGAAACGGAATTTTAAATGGATTCGGAATTTATATAAACAATCAGGTTGATTATTTCCACTTACGACATATACAGTTCGGGACAGCATAAGACATCCCAATCAAATTTCTTAAAAATTATATATAAACTTTTATAAAATTATATATAAGCGCCAAATTTTCAAAAGCTATATATTTTAAACTGTTATAACTTTTTTAAAATTAAAATTTTTAAAAATTCCTCTTTCAGATTTATTCTTTAGATAAAAAAGAACAAAATTGAAAGAGGAATTTTTATTTTAATTTTTTTTAAAAAAGTTATAACGATTTTAAGCTACTATATAAAAAGTGGATGTCTTATCCTGTCCCGAACTGTACAATATTAAAAAAAAAAGTTCTATTATAAAAAACTATACTACATCAAATAACAGCTATAAATATTACTATTTACCACACATTAGGGAAGTTCTAAATTTAACGAATTAATTATTCTTTCTATTGGCAAAACTATGGTAAGAACTTTTGCACCGGCGATGTGGATACCATTTAGACTCACATGACGTAAATCTGGAGCATAAGAAAATACAGTTCCACCACTATCACCGCGATTACTAGTCATACTTGTAACGATCATTTGCGACATTATTTTTCGTTTACGATTTATATATAAAGCATCGAGCGCTCTTATATATCCACATGTCACATGTGTAGTATATCCAGATTTACATAAATGAGCACCATGACTATACACGGGTGGTAAACTTTTATTTATAAGTAATTGATCATATATTTCAGAATCAGAATTTCTTATTGACAATCTTGGTTCGATATCTTTAACAGTTATATTGACTAAAGAAACGTCAATTGGTTGTGATTTATTGAAAATAATTGGACCAATTGGGAAATGCGCAACTTTTGAATTCCACCGCCTAAGATAAATAATTGGATTATGAGGTTTAGAACAATGTCCAGCGGTTACAATGTAATTATCAGATAAATTTTTTCTTTTTGCCCAAAATCCCACAGAACAACCACTATTGTAAACTGGATTATATAAACCATCACCACCCATGATTGGAATAGTAGAAACTATATTTCTTTGTAGAGCTGTTGGAACTAGTTCCTCAACATATTCAAGAATTAGATTATATTGTTTTACTTTTTTTACAAACTCTTCATTTTGTTTTGAATGTTTATGATATAAAATTATAACAACCTCATTAAGTTTTATATCTATAAAAAGAGCTGTAGACTTTGGAATTAACTTTGTAGCTAGCGCACGTGTTTCGTTAAAAGATTTGTTTAAAGTATATAAAGAATTATTTGCTGGTACAAAGCTTGTTAAATTCAAATAATCTCTTAATTGAGGTGAGTTTTTTATAATATCGGCTTTAGTAAAGTTTAATGTGTAAATAATTAAAAGATTTTTTTCTAAATCTATATAAGTTCCTCCAAAATCTCTTTCATAGTTTTCTATTAATTGTTTTACGATTTTATCCACCATAATTAATTTCTTTTCATTTTCTAATAAATTGGGTAATTGACTATCTGATACATCCCATAATTTCGCCAATGCTTCATTTTGAGTATGGGGAACAGAATAAGTTTTTAATGTAAAAATAATAATGATTATTAAAATATAAATATTATTCATGATCGTGTCTAATTTATGATTTTATGCAAAGTAAAATAGAAATTAACAAGGTCTTGCTAGACACGTGCGAGAAACTTTGATTTGAGGATATAAAAAATCTGGGACAGATTGATCTTATATCAATATTAATAGTTTGCACGCGCTTTGCTATTGTGTAATCGTCATATAACTAGAGTGAAAAGTAGATCAATTTTAATTCCAAAAGTGTGTACAGTAAAAGAGGAATTAACGACCATTTTATAAAGTGGATAGCGATTATACTATAATTTAAGAGTAGAATGACTTTTCGCTTAATATGATTAGCGTAAGAGCGATATCAAAAGGGAATACTATTATAATCAGGAAATTTTTTAAACTGATAAGTATCGATTGTTATTTAAAAAATTGTTAATTTGATTAATAACACTCATTGATAAAAAAAATTAATATAGATAAAAAGGCAACATCTATTTCCACCATTGGTCGTAATTTAGCATATGTATGATATTTGGTTCCCGTGGAAATAGGCGTTCCCGATAAAAATTGACAGTTATTAAAAGAAAAACTTTTTTGCACTGATTATAATTGATTATAATTTAATATTATCAAATATTATTAATTAAGATTAAAATTAATATTGTATTTAGCTATAATAATTTTAATTTAAATTGATAATTAACATCACCACTAATAATAATTATTAAATCAATCACTTTATCAAATATTATTAAGATTAAAATTAATATTTAGCCATAATAAATTTAATTTTAATTGATTATTAACATCACCACTAATAATAATTATTAAAACTATCTGGTTATAATGGTTATAATTGATTAGCTATTTGGTAATTAATTATAATCTGTTTATAAAATTTCCTGATGAATTGATGATAATAGGGAAGATTGATGTTCTGAGAAACCCCTAGCGCACTCACAAAAATAGTTCCTTCCCGTGGTTTTTGACCAATAAAATTCCAAGATCGGTATAATGTAAACAATCGAAGCGAATCCTTTTTTTTTACAATAAAAACAGAAATAACTCAAAATTTTAATTAAGAAACCACCTGCGGCCTAATTAAAAATGTTCCGCGTGAAATTTTACTAACAGAAACTCTACCGCCCTAACCCTAATCCAAACCCAGTTATTTAAAAAATACTATATTATCACACTTCTTATTTTAAGCTATTATATCTTCCTTTTAATCTACTAGATATAATCTATTTATCTACCAAACTAACTTGTAAAAATTACAGGGGAACAATTTTTGTAGGTGCTTATATGATGCTTCAAAAAATTAACGGAAAGTCTACGGACACGTACAGGACACGTGATTTTGCACGTACCGACGATCACGTGATATATAACGTACGTCAAACTATCGTAGAATTTTTCTTAATTTTGAACAAATTTACTCGACAACTATCCAATAAAATTCGGTGAAAATTTTTTTGAATAGATTCTGCGAATTAGTAGAATTTATTTAAAAAAATTTTCTTCAAATTTAATTGGATAGTTGTTGAGAAATTTTCGTTCAAAGTTTGGGAAATTTTTCAACGGCTCAAGAAAATAGCCGCGGCAGAAATTT